GCTCCTCCCTGCTCATCTGACCCTGCTCAGTTACCTGCAGACTTGCATTTCCAAGTCTGTATTTGTTTAACCAAACTTGCCATTGTTTTCTTCCTTTGCATTTTTTCTTCTGCCTTTATCTTGGGCTGAGACAGCATCGAGCTTCTGTGCTTCCTATGCACCCCTTCTCTATGTGCTGTAGCATTCTGATGTCTGATCCTCTCACCATCTGAGCGTCTATTCACCAAGCTTCCAGCATACCCTGGATTTCTGTTTCTGGATTCCTCGATTTGTGCTCACTGCCTCGGCTTTCAGCGCTTGTCTGCCCTTCCCTGCCTGTCCTAACCAGTCATGCTTATAGGCTGTTCCTGTCTGGGCTTATCTCTCTAAACTTAACCTCCATCTCTCCTTGCCCATGGTCCATCATAGCACTATTTCCTACCATGACTCTGAGCCCTCCTGCTCGTCCCTGTCCTGCTGTTGCCTGTTCCCAATATGACAAGTGTGATTATCAAAAGGCCTATTTTCCAGAGATTTTATAAGACAACCTGCAATTTCCTACCCTTCAATAGGAGGAAGCATCTTGGTGCAGGAGCTAAACAGAAAAGTATGAATCATTCAGAGGGCTGTGCTTAATTTTCCCTGGTTTTGCTAAACTGTAACATCATTAAGAAAATGAGTAAATAATACTGCAGGTAGCATCCAAATAAAATTTAAACTACCATAATGTGAAAAATGAATATTTTGCATTTAGCCAACCCTTTCTCTTTGTATTAGTCTTATTGCTATCATAATAAATTCCGTGAGCTTAATGACTTAAAACTACACAAATTTATTTCCTTCTAGTTGTAGAGATGAGAAGTCAGAAATGAATTTCAGCGACTTAACATTGAATTGTTGGCAGGCTGCAATCCTTCTAAAGAGTCTGAGGAGAATCGGTTTTCTTACTTTTTCCAGTTGTTGGAAACTGCTTACGTTGATGGTTCTTGGCCCTTTCCTCTAGTTTCAGGGTAGTAATTGTATCACTTCGACCTGTGCTTCTGTCCCGTCCCTTCTTCTCTGACTCTGAGTCTGCCACCTCATTCTTTTATATGTTAGGAGACTTGTCATTACATGAGCTCAGGTGGATAATCCAAAATAACCTCTCAATCTCAGCTCATCAAGATCCTCAATCACATCTTTGAAGTCTCAATGTCACCTCATCAAGATCCTCAGTCATAAGCTTCAAAGTCTCCTTTTCCCAATAAGGTAGCATATTCATAAGTTCTAAGGACAGGATGTGGGCACCTTTGAGCTGTTATACTTCCCTGTGTATACTTACCTTGCTAATTCCATGGTTACCTTGGAGAGCTCTGCTAACACCACAATACTCTTTCACATGCTAAGTGTTTTACATACATGCCTTCTCTTTTATTCCTCATAATGATTCCATGGGGCTCCTTATCAAGTTCATTGTACATTTGAGAAGACTGAGACTTAGAGACATGACATTGCATGCCTAATGTTACACAAGCTAGGAATTTACTTTCTGTCTCAATCACTTTCTTCATTGCTGAGACATAATAACAGACACAATCTAAAGAAGAAGAGGTTTATTGTGGCTCATAGTTTCAGACGTTTAGTCCATGGTTGGCAGCCTCAAATGCAGAAACAACATGGTAGGAGGGCCTGATGTGGAGGAGAACTATTCATGGTGGCCAGGAAGTCGAGTGAAGGGACAGAGAGAGGGAGCTAGATATACCTTCCCATGTCACACCCCTAGTGACCTGCCTCTTCACACAAGACCCAATGGCCTAATGGCCGATTCAACTATGAATACATCAGTTGATTAATTCACTGATGAGTATAGCACCCACATCATCCAGTCACCTTCCAAAAACCCCACCTCTGAAAGCATGATGTTTTGGGGGAAATCTCTTGATCTAAAGCATAAACACCTCTCTTTTTTTATTAGCAGTCTGTATCCTGTCTTTCCATAACACTAGACCTATCTTCATACAAATGTCTAATTAACTGTTGTAGCCTCCTGGGAGCTCACTTATGAACACTGGTGGACCAGTCAAAGGCAGAGAAGGTCATACTGGATTTGGAAACAATTTTAGATGAGGAATTTTTTACCAAGTGGGTTTTTTTGTGTGTGCATAATTTTTCTGCTTAGATTTTTATGTATTGCTTTGTCCTTAACAGACAGTATCTTCATGAACATTAGCTATGTAGGTTTTATCAAGAAGATGGCTGGTCATTTCAGTCTGAATATTAGATCTTAGTTAGGTCCAGAAAAGTGACCTAATACATCTTGCACTATGACTTGTATTCCAATTTTTGACTCTTTTTTATGAGCATCCTTTCTATGGTAGGCCATCATCTATTTCCTGTTTTCTTTATAAATTTGTCCATCTCCTATTTTTATTATCTTTCTTTCTTTCTTTCTTTTTTTTTTTTTTCTCTCTGGGTTATTTTTTCAATCCTGCCCTGAAAGGTGTTAAGTTTCTGCAATGCTGATTTGGTCTTTTACTTCCAGTGCCATAGTGAATTCTTTGCATGGAATTCTTTTTACAGTTCTTCCCTGACGCCTCCAGGTTTACTTTCTTTCTTAGGACTGTTCCTATCTATTCATCACATTGGACATGTTTTGTGGAGCCCATGTCACACTCAGTCTTTCTTTTTTAATTCCCTGAATTTATTAACTTTTCAAAATTTTGGATGTCTGAGCTGTGTCTCATGGGCTGTCTGGCTGGGTCATGTGCAATTTTGCTTAATTTTCTTCATCCTCTACACAGTATTCCTATCTCTACCCCTCCCTTTCCTTGTTTTTGGTCCTTAGTTAAAGAGAAAACTGGTAGCAAATAAGTGGCTGCTAGTGTCTTACCTGTTGCTCATATGCTCACATTTGCAAATGGTGGTGTTCAAGAAGGTGAGTGATAGGCAATAATTAATAATGATCACTATATCTCATGAGGATTAGATGGAAAAGCATATAAAACACATAAAAGCATAAAGTGTTTTCTCAATATTAGCTTTAAAAATAAAAGAGAAGAGTGTTTTCATGATGTTATAGTTAAATCCAGTTGGAAAATATCCACAAAAGTCTCGTCACCACCTCGTCCATCACTACCACGTGGCCTTGCAGTGCCTTGATCAGAAATGGGGAAGATGGGCTCCCTTTGGTGGCCCCATCTCTTCTGACGCTCTCTCATCCATTGCACTTCTGTTCTCCAAGCCAGGGCACCTTTCTGGTGTTTGCCACAGATTCCTTGACTTCCTCAGTGCACTACTGTGGAAACGGAAATTACCTGGTTTGCAAGCGTCTCGTGCTTGGGGCCAAGTTGTTGCATCTCTTGCAAGTCAGTATCAAGGCTGAAGACAGGGGCAGTTTCAACCCCCCAGTTACACTGGTTTTTGTCCAGTCATGTTGAAGAGTTTTTTTTTATATGGGGAACAGATTATGGCTGCCTTTCCTACCATTCTGGAAATAACACTTATTTGATTGAAATATATGGGTGATACGTGTTTGAGGTAGAAAGTCTGAAGAATGCCAAAAAATGAGATAAAAAGAGAAAATGTCACCTACGATCATCCATCTGGTCTGGGTAAGGTCTCTGTTGGTTGCTCTCCAGCAGGTCCTTGGCTATTCTGAGTTTCATGTCTTACGTTCGCTACTTCTGCCTGGTGTTGGTACTGATTCAGGGGCCTCCACCATACCTGAGTAGGTGGCTCTTCCTATTCCCGTGTTCCCATCCTGACCCGTCACTGAGGTGGGCGGGTTAAAAGATGACAGGGAGGAAAGTAGGTCATGCACATGGTGAGACCGTTCACTTCATGCAGGGAGCAATGAAGATCACATCCCAGACGGCTCAGGGCATGAGAATTATAAATCACAAGATTTCCCTAAATCCAACCAGACAATTAAAGCACTCCATGTTACTTTGAGAGAAAAATTTAAATTAAGGCAGGCAGTAGGGATAAGGCCTCAGGAAAAAAAGAGTGTTTGACTTGAAGTTGGAAATCCTGGTGAGGGACTTATTTGCTCTTCATATTTATTTAACCTCTTTGACATTTGAATTCTTTTGAGAAAAGCAGCAATAATACATACCTCAAACAAGAGTTTGAAGATTTAAAGGAGATTTACACAAAAATACCCATCTTAGGGGTTGGTATATACTAGGTGCTTAATAAATATTCACATGCCTGTGCCTTACCCATTGTCATAGTTTGCAACCGTGAAAGTTCATTGGAACATAGCATATCACACTTAAAACTCAGGGAGATACAGAAAAAAAACCCCATATGTGCTCTCCTTGATTCCAGAAGTATCTACAAAGTTTGTTCTGGAAGTGAAAAGAGCAAAAGCCTATATTTGGGAAACTCCCAGGTTAAAGAGGGAATATTTACAGCCAAAGATGTGAAGAAAGCTTGAAGACATGGTTGGCTTTCAGGTGGTGGTGTGGTAGTGATGAGAACTTACTAGAGGTGATGGAGAGCTGAGCTGGGTTTGAGGAAGACAGGACAGTCCAAGCAGAGGAAAGACCTCAGGCAAGGAGGAAAGGTTTCTGACATGCCTCCTATTCCTGGTGACAGCTTGGTACAGGTGGGGCTTAGCACCCATGGGTGGGATAGCAGGTCACTACCAGCTGTGAGACTGGGAGACAGGCTGTTCATTATCACTCCAGTGGGCTGGGTTTTCACTGATCTACCCAAGCCTGTCTTTTGGGGAATGCTGTGGTTGCTGCTTGAGAGATGGGAGAGAGGAAGGTTAAGGATATATAGCTAACCTCAAGTGAAGTCTGAGCAAATAGCTAAGTAGCTCTCCCTTTGCCTTCTTGCCACCAGGCACCCTTCTTGAATCAGCTCATTAGCCAAGTTTATTCTTGAATCAGATCACTAGTACAAACCAGGGTGAAAACCCTGAAATTAGTGGGAAGTTCTAGACACCTGGAGCATAGGGGTAGGGGAGCATCTGTACTGGTAGTTTCTGGAAGCCCCCGTGATGCTGACTTTTCTCCTCTTTCTGTGTCTTACAGCAATGGAATGGCAGAGACACGGCCCTCATGGTCACTCGTGTGGTCAACCACAGGCGTTTCTCAGCCACGGTCAGTGTGGCAGATACTACCCAGCGTAGCGTCAGCAAATATCGCTGTGTGATCCGCTCCGATGGTGGATCCGGTGTTTCCAACTATGCAGAGCTGATTGTGAAAGGTGAGTGACACCAATCCAAGCCTCTACTCAGAGTGGCAGGGTCTGGAGCCTCTTGTGCTCCATCTCTTCATGGGAGTTAAAGCCCTCTCTCCTGCAGTAGCATGAGACACAAGTTTCCAAGAACCCCATTCGCCTCAACCTACACACCCCTAAAGAGGGGAAGCAATTATAAAATCATGCAACAATGAGCCATATGATTCAGAGTGGAGTCTTACATATGGGTTACATGCACAAAAGACTATGGAGTATATAGCTGAGAGGACATCTCCAAATTTGGCTTTATTTTGTATTTAAAGTCAGGATGAACAAATGTCCTTGTGCTCTGGTGACATTCTTCTGTAGTATTCTCATAGGATTGTTTCTGAGGGATTTTAAATTTAAAATTGGATACAATGACAATATTTTGGGAGGACTTTTAAAGTAAATAACCCCTACTCCACTGGCTTTGATTCAATTCTTTTCAGTTGTCTTGTTCTTGTTCACCTTGAGGTGCTATTTACGTGTTTTCCATTAAAATGTGCATGTTGTTTTCTTTTCTGCTTCTTTCGAGAACTGAATATCCCACTTGTCCTGGAACCTCTATGTAATCTGTTATCATGCTTAATGGGCGTATACTATTTCATCAAGTACATTTTCCTATTTTTAAAAAGTCCTGGTATTTGCAGTCATTAAGGTAACTCCAGGTGTTTTTGTTTTTGTTTTTTCTTTCCTTTGGGTGCACAACAATTAACACATCCACGTAGATCTTCTGAAGAGAATATTTTTATTCCATTTGAACCAGCTTCTTTCCTTAAGATAAATTCCCCAGAGGTAGAATTGGTAGGCCAAAGAAAAATATGAGCATCTTGATGGATTTTTCTTTGTTTTGCAATATGGCTTCTGCAAAAAAAAATCAGTTTAACAATTTACACTGGCAACAACAGCATAGGAAGGTACTCGTTGTTATGTTCACCGATTAAAATTTCAATATAGCATAATTTGGTACATGAAATAAGGAAGCTTCTCATATTATGCCACTGTAGGAGGATGCCTGGTGTGTTTGAAGGGGAGGAAGCATGGATAGATCCCCCAGAAGCCCTTAGACTTGGCTGTCCAGGTCAAAGAATGGGTTGGTATGGAAACCCATGACCTCTCTTTGCTGGCTGCTATGTGACCTGACCAGAACCAGGATGGGGATTACACGCTGGGTTCTCTGTTTTGGGCCATCTTGACTCCAGATGGATATTTCTGTGGCTGACCATGTGTCATCGCTGAAGTGTGAGTGCGAGTGTCAACATGGCATTTGCTGCCCGGGCCCCTCTCTTGGTCATCACATTCCGGCACCTGTTCTGTATACCTCTGATCACACTTCACGGTGATAGTTTCCCTTTCTTTGTTTACAGGGTGATTTCTGTCTTGCTGTTTAGGAGATAAGCTCTATGGCAGGAGGAGCCTTATCTCTCTCGTTGTAACTCTCCCATTTAGCACAGTGCCTGACCTAGGTTTGGTGTGCGCTGACCCATGTGGACTTCCCATTGCTTCACTGTTTTGATCTGTAGTCAGTCACATCGTAAGTCTCAAGCTTCAAGAAATATGTGGAATAATGGATGAGCAAATGAATTATCGGCCTCAGCAGGAATTCATTTCATCACCATAATGTCATGAACACTTAAGCTGAATATCAACAAATTAGGCAGTCATGAACAAAGCAACTAGTACAAAAATATCATCTTTATATTTGTTTACATTCACTGCCGTTAATATATAAAAGAAGACATAACTTTGATCACATTAGGCTCATATCCTTGCCTTTTTGTGCTATAAGATTGATTTGTGTGACACAGTGGCCTTTGCAGGGCTTTCAAATACTCAGTGAATATGTAATTTCTTGAGCTGTCCCCTGGAAGGCTCATTATACTTCTTTCATGGCTGACCTTCTACTCCAGACTGCGAGCCTCAGGAGAGAATTGGTTGTATTCTGTCACGTTCTCCGTGGTCTTAGGAGCACTGGTGCCTGCTATGAAGTTGCTGATGAGATAATAGGGCAAATGTGCTTTGGAGTTGGTGCTGTACTATGACTGATGGACAAATGGAACCAGAAAATACTCGTGTTACTCTTTCCATGTCTGCCATTCATCTGCACAGTGGGGCATATGGGAAGTCAGATCCAGAGTCTTCTGGGCAGAGAATGTGGTGAATATCAGTGCTCTGATTTAGAGAGGTGGCCACCAGGAAAGTGATTCATCCTGTGTTGGCTGTTGACTCTGAACCAGAGTTAAGGAGGGGACCAGTGGTGCCTCTGATGCTAGGTGCACCAGCCAGGACTGTCACAGTATGACCCAGAGACCTCTGCTGCCCTGAATGCTCACCTGCAGCCCTTGCTGCTCCAGGTTAAAGGATGTGCTGAGAGGTACCCAGCCTCCTACATAGTGGACAGTGGTGGGTTGGCATTGTGTATAATCTGGTCCCATTTGATTATTTTGCCTAGATGAAATGCAGCCACATGTTTAGCATAGGATATCACTTCTTAAGTGCCCATTTTCCTCTCATTTTAATATTCAGTTGGTGATGAGCCACAACTTAGTCCCTTGAATGTAGAGAAATCCCTTCACATATGTTATCTCATTTTATCTTAATTGCAACTGTGAACACTGGTTGTATTTCAACTCATTTTATAACTGAGAGGATGGGCACAGCCAGAGAAACAGAGTGTAGTACGAAGGGTCAGAGCCCAGGTCTGACCTGGGCCTGGCTTAATGCTATTTTGGCCACACCTTGAGGGCCTGGGGATTGTGGCCCTCTTGGCACCCAGTATCACATGTCATGCAGAGTGCCAAAGTAGGTCTCAGGTCACGAGTCCCTGGGCCTGTCTAGATAACTTGCTGTTTTAATTCATGCATGCCCCACCCCACTCCTGGCTTACTTCTAGGTTCTTGTAGAAATGTACTTGACCGTTCCCTGTGTGAGCATGCCTGTGTATGCACACCCACACCCACACCCACACCGTCCACTGCTGAAGAGCTCATAGCATCCAAGGAAAACAAGAAGATGAAGGCAGGGACACCCCGAAGCAGAGGAAACCTGTCACCCAGGTGTGTGTGCCCACCAACCATTGCAAGGCAGTGAGCAAGAGCATTTTGGGGGGAAATGGCATTTGAAGAATGACTTGCTTCCCCCATAAGAGCTCTTTGTCTTTGCTGAGCCAGGGTGCTTAAACACTTTAATACTGAAATCATTGTAAAAAGAAAAAATCAAGGGGAAAATATTACTCTTTCTTTTCCAGGGAAGAGAGACAATCTGAGCAACAGCACAAAAGGGATACTCAAGTGCCAAGTCCTGTCCTAGTAGAGGGAATGTAACCTACATTTCCTGTTCTTGAATGCTGATACATTTATGTTTTTCACAAGTAGTATGGCCCAAGGGGTCCAGAGCCTTTGGCTGATCCTGGGATGTCACAGAAAGAAAAAGATGTCTCTGCAGTTTTCCTGCACACAGGTTTCCTCTGTTTGGCTCTAGTTCAGCAGTGAGAGAGGACTGTAGGCTCTCCACTCGGGCTGTGATGTTGGGTTTAAATCCTGGCCCCGTCTTGTCCCAGTTCTGTGATGTTAAACAAGACATAAACCTCGCAGGGCCTCATCTGGCTCAGCTGGAGACAGAATATAGGATTACCTCCCTCAGAGGGAGCGGTGAGGATTAAATTCAGTAATAGATGTAGGAATTCTCAGAACAGTGCCTGGTATACATGCTCTGAAACTTTTGCTAAAAAACCAAGTAAGTAGCCCATGATAGTGCGATTTCCTACAAGGGAGGCAAAGAGGAGAAAGGCTCTGTAGGTGGAACAAGAAATCTGATTCAGGTGTCAATTTGATTAGTTCTTCCGTGGTCTTAGAGATATAATTTAAGGCCTCTGCAAAGTGTACATCCTGTGTTCTGTCCGCACACAGGAATAGAGTATAAAGACGGGGAGGAAGGGAAAATGTGGACTTGGAAACATTGGGTCAGGGGGTCTGCGCAGGTCAGAGTTCTCTGGGTCCTTTTCTGTGTCCACCGCTGACAGGAACGCTCAGTAGCTGGGCCATCTTAGAGGCAGGGTCACTGTGATGGCTTCCAGGGCAGGTGCTCACACCCAGCCAGGCAACAGAGGCTCAGGCTGAGCTGTCTCCCCCCACACAGGTGAGTCCATGGCAGGTTGGCAGGAGGCTCATATGCCAGCCTGGGATAGTGAAGATGAGGGTTTCAAAAGATGCCACTGACTTTGAGAGTAGCTGACATCAAATTCTCTGCGTGGTAGGGAGACTGTAATGAAAGCAAATTAGAGTTCATTCTGAGGAGCTGAGTTGTGATAGTGTACAGTACCTAAGTGCATGTTAGATGACTCTGTAAAGGAAGTTTCCCTCAGTCTACAGCTCAGCCCTCAGCTTACTTCTTCCATGCCAGTGATCGTAAGGGTCCTTATTCTTTCCCTGTTTCTCATTTTCCAAGTGTCTTTGATTGTCAAGTGTCTTAACTTTACTCGAGGACAATAATGTCTTCAACCAAAGTGATTCAGCTACGTCCTGGTGAAAATGTTTTAATTTGTATGCTGGTAGTTAGTAGTGATTTTTAAACCAGTCCTCCAGCTCCATTTAACAACCTATGATGGGCTCAGAACTCTTATCCATGTGGAGTTATCTCCTAGAAAAAGTACACTATTGGTTTTGAGCATCAGGAGTTTGTATTTAAATACAACTTCTAACTAAGCCACTTTGGTAGAGGCAAGGATAGGGATCGTGGACTGAACTGAAACACATCTGAGTTTCAGTTTTGGTCTTATTCCCAGCTGCCTGCATAGCTGCAAGTGAAGCATGCCTTCATCCCTGGCCTCAACTTTCCTCATCTGTATAATGGCATGAATATGTCTAATTAGGCCTTTATGACAGAAAGACAAAATGTGTAGATCCTAGGACAAGTTAAGCCCCCATAAAAGAGGTCTGTAACTACCAATAATCATATTTTTACCATCATTACTAAGAGATGCTGCC